CGAATTTACAATGATGTAAAATGCAACTATATTAATTGTGTAAGTACAAACACACACACATCCACATTCCCCGGATTGACCACCTCTTTCCCTATTAATGACAATACACTTCAATGTGTAAATAAATGGACACAAAGCTAGAGCTACTTGAGGAACATGTCAGGTTTCATGAGAGACACCATAACATGACCGTTTCTTGGTCCTCAAGGTGGCACAACGTGTCCCCAAACCTCCGTACCAGTGGAAAAAACAACCGTCGAACAAACAGTACTTCGTCTCTATAGAAGAGAACGCACTAGGTCGTAACTTCTTGTAGACCCAACTCTGTTGAAGTAGTACTTCGACAAGTTGACTTGTTATCCAAACGCCATTCCGTTAATGCTTACTCCACGTTAATTAACACATGCCGCGCTACCGGCACTATCACCGTCACTCAACCGCCATCGTCCGCGGGACCGTTCGTCTACTTTACGGAGAAGTACATCCGAAGCCACGTAATAGACACGTGCTTGTGTTAGTGTAGCGCAGTAAACTTACCCGACATAAGAAGATCCGTAAAGGCTGTCCGGTCGTCTATGTCACTTACTAACGTCGACCGAGTTCCTTGTGGCCCACAGACCCGTCCATCCGGTCTAGCGTACGTCTTTGACCTAGCGAAGAACTCACCACGTGTCGTCCTACAAGTCTGCCGTAGAGGAGATCGTAGACTCAGAGTAGTTTATTACGTCGTGGCATCGTTGTCCAAAAAGGACGTTCTTTCGAACCGTTGAGAACGAAAAGCCGAAGTGTAAACAGACCGACGTCTCCATAAACGACGGAACTTCGTCCGAGCGGCTCCGTGGCGGCTGGGGCGTAGCCTGGCCACCTGGGGCGCCACCACTTTAGGCCTACCGGGGACGCGAACGCGGTACAAACCCTAATGAAAAAGTAACGCCCTTAGGAAGGAGTAACTCCTGACCCACCGACGAAATCTGCTGTCACCCTTACAACTGCGTCACGTCCACCGGCGCGGTGGGGAGCCTGAGTGTCGTTCTAGGATTTCGGGTTATTCTTATCTAACAAAAAAATTTGGTAACCCCAAGGACAGAATAAATAAGGAGAGAGGTGTGGTTGGACCGGTGATTCGCAATTGGGGGAAAAATAACTCAGCGGCGTTACTCAAATGTAATACGTTGTCAGTTAATTAAGAAAAAAAAAGCGGGCCGAAAGGGTCGAGGAGAAGTGGGAGAGGGCCGAGGAGTCGATCATTTTAATCTATCTGATTGATTTATTACCCATGGCTAAAATTGGTTAAACCATACGTCCGGATTTCAAATTGTCATTACATCTTCTATTTAATTAAAAATTTCTTTAAATTATCTATTTGTGTACGTGTGATGTATGGATTGTTTGTACATATGTTTCGTTTTGTTATTTATTTTCAATTTGGGAAATGATAAGTTAATTGGTGTAAGTTACAAATAAATAACATTTGCGTTAACCCAAGTGTGGTGTGTGTGTGGTGTTGGTGTTGTGGTGTGTGTGTTTGGGTGTGTGTTGTGTGTGTGTGTGTGTGTGGTGTGTGTGGGTGGTGTGTGTTGTGTGTGTGTGTGTGTGTGTTGTGTGTGTGTTTGGTGTGTGTGGGTGTGTGTGCCACCACGTCTTGTCAAAGGGGGTGAAAGCACGTTCTTAACAACATGACGAAACGGCCAAAATCGACTTGCAAGCACCCATCTCCAGTTTACACTTTTACCTAAGCTAAACAAGTAGTAACCACACACTTAAGGTGTGGAAGGTGCTGCCACAAAAGCGGTAAGATCAGACGCGCTACGACTACTGCAACGTAGTAGTTAGTTTGAATGAGCAGCTCCAATTGAAAAAAAAAAAAAAAAAAAGAGTTGAAACACACCTTTTACGTCCCCTAATACGCCGAATAACTATTTTAGACGCCGGAAAATTTTTAGAACACAGTAAAACGACTATACGCCCATTTAAGACGCTAGCGTCTTAGCGCAAAAAGGACCTCCCAGATTTATTGTATGGTTAGTATCGTTTTATCGTAAGCTTATATATCATGTTAGTAGTAACAGCGTTCCCACCAACCTGGGTTTGACGTCTCGGACCTCTGTCGGTCTTTTGAATTGTTTTTACATAAAATTGTCCGCCTTGTCCGCTTGAATCATTGTTGTTAGGTTGTACCTTTTTGTCTTGAAGGGTATCTGTTGTTCCTTGGCTGTCTGTCCGTTTTGGTCCTGAATATTATGATTGCTTCCACGCTCCTACTTCACGCGTTCTACCTTGTTGTTGGTGTCAGTTTGACCTAATCACTTTCTTTCTCTTTGTGATTTTCATTCACAGGTGTGTGGCAGAAGTGTACCACAGTCTGTGGAGAGACTCCAGGACATGCTTCAAGACCCAAACCTGGCTCAGTCCCTGAATGTGCAGATCAATATCATGGCTGACAAGTGCAAACACATCCTCAATCTACTAGACATCTTCGAGAGCAGACGCCCAGTGACCACAAAGATCTTCAATTATCTGGAGGATCTGCAGGTGGTCATTGCTGCCAATAAAGAGATGCAGTATGAGGTATGTGACAAATACTTCAAGGAGTTGGACATGCCACGCCGCACGAAGACCGAGATCCTCCGCACAGTTGGCGAGGCATACGTCAATGCTGAAGAAAAGCTCACCAAGTACATGTCAGATGGGCAGCCAGCCATAGGCTTTCTTCAGGAGGTCAGGGTGTTTGATCCTCGTCACATCGCATTCCTAGATGACTCTGTAGAAAGCTACAAGGCCATTCCAGGTTTCACTCACGTGCCAAGACATGAATTTGATTCTATATTTCACAGCCCTGGGTCCAGCAGCACTCAGAGCTGCACTGTCTGGCGTGGTGGATTTGGATGTGTTCTGGGATGGCGTACAGGAGAGACTTCCTGTACTGTCTTCCTTGGCCCACCGATACAAAGATGCTGTTCCCAACTCAGCCGATGCTGAACGAAGCAAAAGCATCTACAAGCTGGTGTTGTCCAGCCGAAGGAGATCAACTACCAACCAAAACCTCAAAGCCTTGGTCTTCTTATGCCATAACCAACGGATCCTCAGTGGAGCGTTTGAGAGGGAGGAGAGGGAGAAAGGAAAAGTGATAGAGGGGGAGGACATGGAGATTGAGGGAGAGGGGTTGGAGGATGATGAATGATGAATGATTGGACAGTGACACAGACTATGCAGTCGTTTTCAAACACAGTGGACTCTAATTTAATGCAGGAATTAATACAACTTGTTGTAAGATTGCTCTTGAAAATTTTTTTGGTGACGTATGTGTTCATTTTTCATAAACTGTGAACTCTTGTTGATGCATTCAGTAGTTAATACAACTTTAAAAGTTGTAAGATTGCACAATTTCTTGTGTATATAGCTTAACTTTACTACAACCTAACAGTTGTAAGATCATTGCACTGTTTTTGTTTTGTTATTGCATAGCAATACAGTATTGTGTTACCTAAGTTTTATAGAACCATTCAATGGTCAAGTAGGTTTGCCTCATTGAGAGATAATGTTATTTTCAAAATCCTGTGATTTTGGCAAGTTGATGTTCAACAGCTACTCGGTTTCTGTCTTTGAAAATATTATTGTAGCATAACAGATGGTCTGTTCTACCTCACTTTTATAAAGCAGGAAGAATTTATTTTATTTTTTGAAAATGTTGTGACTCAGGAATGTTTAAGCCATGCTTAAGTTGAGAAAATAATAAAAAAAGAACAAAAACATTACCAGCACTTTCTGTGATGTAGCTTGCTTCTAGTATGCTTGTTTATCATAGGTACTCTTTAAAAAGGGCTCCCTTTCATTCAGTAGTAGCCTAGTAACAGGGTGTGGGAGAAGAATCACCTTTTTTCCGCAACTTCCCGCAATTTCACCGCATAAAATCACATAAAAACCCTGCATGTTTAATTGCATAATCAAGGATTTTTGCCCGCGTTTTTCTGGAGGGTCTATAAAGTTCCTCGCACTACTTGTGTACTTTAAAGCGGCAAGGCATCGTTTACAATTTGCGAGCGATTTTTCAAGTTGACCGTCTTTCTTGAAAAATCCGAAGTGTTTCCAAACGTTTGTTTTGTAGGTATTTTTCGATGCGCTGTGTTTCTCTTTCTCCTCGACTTCCATGTGTGTTGATAACTGAGACTCTCGGCCTCCGTAGTGCAAAGCAATGATCAAAGATCATCTCTGCTGAGTGCTGACAGGATATTATATGAATGAATCGTTTTTTTACCGATGCAAAGACGCTACGCAATCGATGCATCGCGAGTTTAACCCAAACTGTAGCCGATGTGCACTCTTTCAACCGGTGCACTCGCATCTTGAACGTCTATGATAGTGCACCGATGCGAATCGGTGAATCTCAACATCCCTCCTATGAACCCTTTTCCCCCCATTTGTAACAAATGTATCATCAGGGCAAATTTGAGGTAATTACAACCCAGGTGGAAATCAATCAACACATAGCATGTACCTGGCTCTTGGCAGCTTTGTTGGCAGGGTACAGTTGAAGAACCTGCTGGAAAACATCTTTTGCCTGGTCGAACTCCTTCATACCGAAAAGTGCCTCTCCCCTTCGGAACAAAGCCTTTTCATTGGATGGATTCAATTCCAGAGCCTATGATCATTAACAGAGTACAGTGAAATGTTATTAACACCTTCACAAGTCTCCAACGTGCTACATACGGAATGAATAATGTGCTAACAGTCGATTATAAATACCTTGTCACAGTTTTCTAGGGCTTTGTTTGGCTCCTGTAGTTTAAGGAAGCACATGGCCAAATTCAGATTTGCCGCCAGTTGCAAAGCTTTTGCTTTCTTCTCGTCCTCCTCTGACAAACCAGATTCATTTTCCAGCCATGATACAATCCTTTTGTACTGCACTGACGCCTGCTTGTATTTCCCCTCCTGCAACAAATCATAGAAAACATGAGGTCTATGTCTTTAAGATATGATATATATGATTATAAAATGTGTAAACATCCCAATGCTCACCTTAAAATACTGTGTTCCCTTCTCTTTGACAATGATGCTTTGTTCCAGCTTCTCCACTGTGTTCATCTCCCATGATTCTTTAGCCTGAAGAAACCATAACATATAAATCACTTCAGAAACATCAACGTCAGAACTGACATTTAATTTGTGAACATTATAAGCCAAGTTGTGTTTACTACTCAGCGGCAAGATCTGTTTACCTTCTCAAAGGCTGCCAGCTTTATTTTGTATTGCAGCGTTGCTCCACCAGGAATTTCATGCTTTGCATTTCCAGCACTCCCAAAGCCGTATCTGCAAATCAAAGACACTTATCATTAATAATCTCAGGTGTGGTGTAAAAATACTGTAGTTTCAGTTGCTGTTTGAGTTAAAACAGCTTTGCAATGTAATATGGCGTCTTATGTTCTATCTTTGATTGGGTTGGCAAAATGTCACTCCTGTTATCCATTTGTCTTAACACTGAGATTGCTTTATCGTCGAGTTGGATTCAACTCAAACCGTTCAGCTTCAGAGATGTATATCGACACATGAATGATCAGAGAGACCTGTATACAACACTTATTACAAAACACATGTCTTAATATATATGATCATACTTAGGCTTAATATGGAAGATTGCCTCCTCTCCCTGCTCCATCGCTATGATAGCTTTCTCCACTCCAACTGGCAGGCCAAGACCTTCTCCATCTCCAATCTCAAACTTAAGTTCTCTCTCGTCAAAAACACGTCCCTCATAGGAACCCTCCACAGTCACTGAAAGGGTTGGAAAAAGCTTAGGTTAGGTTGTGCCACAAACCAGACGTGAGTTAGCCACACAATTGTTAGCATGCAGTAGATTGGCAGCTGTCAAAAAGCTGCAGCTGAGGATAATTGCTGCAACTAACAGTCGATAAATATGTTCTGCTTTGTTGAGGATGCCTGTAAATGTGTGACAGCAAAGCAAAGTTAGCATTATGAAATAGACTAACCCTCTCGCCCTATTAAAAATAAAATATGGCTGTCAATGTTTGTAAAACAGCAGTGATAAGTAGATTTTAATTAAACAAGTTACAGTAGGTGCCGGGTTTCATGGCGAGAAAAAAATGTGTCGAGCCTTGAATTAATTGTCTTCTCTAGACTCTATGTGCTGCAATTTTTAGAAACTAAAGTTATCTTCATGAATTCAAGCTGACTCTTAATAATAGATGAAACTTAAAATGCTTTAAAGCCACCTTAGCATTGACCCAATACATCTAAAGATAAGTAATTGATATGTATAAACATGCTTTTTAATCAATCTTTAAAAAGTATTTAAACTGTTAAGAAGTAAGTGCATTAAAAAGTCTTACATTTGCAAAAACAAAGAAATAATAATGTAAGTAGGTAGGTACTCTAATCTCTTTTCATTGTTAGCAAAGAAATAGCAGTGTCTGGATGATTTACCGTCAACAGAAGCTCCTTCATTAGGCTTGGAATATCCCTCCCCTTTCGTGATAATGCGACGGATAATTCCTCCATCCTCTCCCTCTGTAATGTCCTCGCCTCGAAATTCAAACAGCTCCACCTAAAAGTGTGCATACATGGGTAAAATCATATATTTTCACACCTAAAAAGGATATTAGCACACTGCATTTCAATCATAAACCAGGAGAAACGGTTTGCAATGTAACATAGACAAAATAACCTGATATTACTGACACGTACCTCAAAAACCAGAGTGGCATTGGGGGGTATCTTTGGGGGACTCCCTGCAGATCCATAAGCATACTCTGGCTTACAGATGAACTGGCACAACTCCCCCACTTTCATTGTGGCCACACCGATGTCCCATGCTTTTATCACTTGACCTAAACACAAAGAAGATGGATTACCAACAGTGGCTGGGCAACAATGAAAGTTAAATGTTCACATCTAAGGTAGATATGAAACAAACCTTTGCCCAACTCAAAGGAAAACTTGTCTTCTCTGTCTCTGCTTGAGTCGAATGGGGAACCATCCAAAAGTGTGCCCACATAATGAACAAACACTTTGTCACCGGTCATAGGCAGCTCTGTGCCTGTGCCTTCTCTTTTGACCAGCTGGAAAACAGACAGCAAAAGGAGAATTTATCATATAAACAGTAGGGAATTGAAAGTTAGAAAGTCATCTCAGCTACGGACATCTAAAGCCAGGTCCAAAATCCATGTGAATGAACGTGAGTTGTAAATGTGTGCGTGTGAGGATATGAAATGCCCGGCATCACCACTAATAGTTTTAGCGTTTAGTATGTCTCCGTGGTTCTAGATCTTTCTAAAGATGCGGACATGGCTAATTATCTTTACGCATGTTGTTGACATCGTGGCAATAAGTTAGCTGGGAGACCAATGGTAGGACAATGGATAAACAGTGTAGCTTGCATACGGTGTTTTTATTCACGGTGCCCGAGATAAGCTAGCATTAGCTCACATTAGCCTATCCGCATGAGTAAACAACAAGCAGCCAGGATTAATATGTAGTATCAAAACACAATCACTTAACGTTACCTTGAAAACACCCCCGTCTTTCTTTGGGGTGATGTCCTCTCCCTCCATTGGGATGGTCTGCTGTCCTTCACTTGTCTGCTCTTCTGCAGTCATTGTCATGAGGCAGATTTAACCCTCCTAGTCCTTTGACCCGCACCACAATTTCTACTAACACTAGCTAATAGTAGCAGCGGCTAAGCTAACTACTTCTCAAACCACGCTAAGTGCAGCAACAAACAACCTCACTCACTGAAACGCTAGCTAGCTAACTAACGTTGCTTAAATCTCTAGCCTTGTTTACTTGTGAGTGCTACTGTTAAGAAAATGCACGATACAGCTTCCTACTAGATGCACTGGTATTGTTTTGCATCCGTCACACATGTATCCGAGCAGAATAGAAGCTTTCGTTTACGTTACTTCAGGTCCACGTTGTCTCGCTGTATGGCATCTGACAAGCGCTTAAAAAAGGGCAGAGAATTTTCCAGACATTCTAGGAGGAACCAGGGGATGAGCCCGCTTTGGTGGCGCTACTTTTACGTCAAAGGGATCCTCCGGTAGGGCGGTGCACTTACAAAGAGCAGGGCAAATTAATAATTTACAGATTTAAACATGGATATTTTATATAATACTTAGGTTAAACATTATGTAATAACCACACAGGCCCACATTTAATGGATAATAGGTAATATGTCTGTATAGCCCCGTCCACTCAAGCACTTCACTATAATAAATCACGCGCTCTTTGGTGTATCTTGCACCCTATTGGTCAGATCTCCTCCCCACCGCTGCCTGTTGGCGCGGATGTTGAACAGGGGAGGTAAACATTCTAACAAAGTAAAATCTTCTTTTTCAAGGCTAACATTATCAATCTGCGGGTAAGTAGCTAATATATACCAACCATCTCTGTACAAAAAACGATCAGCTGTAGACATATGACGTCAGCTAATGTGATAGGTTACAAGTTAGCTAGCTTTGAGCTATGTAATCCAGACAGCTAACATTATATCTCAACCTAAATTGGAGATAACGTTTCTGTTTCAAGGTAACTCAACAGCCAGTAGTGACAACTTTAAAAAAACAAATGTTAGCTGCGTCCCAAACCATGTTGACGAATTTAAAATATCTAAGGATAAATAATTATGAACTGCATTGTGGCACACTCATGCCATGTAGTTATATGAGGCACATTGGATCATAATTGATTGATCTGCACAAAAGCAGAATCCAACCCATAGGAGGTCAGGAGACCCGTGTGTTTCATCTGAGACACAACATCACTATCAGGAGTGGAGGACTGTAGCTAATACACACAGTCTAAACAAACTAGGTGCTGTTCAATGATTAAGAGGCTTCTTTGTTAACCTATTCATGTCATCCTCCAGGGAGGTTCACAATCATGGAAAATGGCAGGGACACATTTCCATTTCCCTATCAGCCCTACAACATCCAGGAGCAGTTTATGCAAGCCCTGTACAGTGCTCTTGACCAGGGCAAAGTTGGAATCTTTGAAAGTCCAACTGGGACGGTGTGTATGTGGGCATGTACTGTATATAAGAGATATTTTATTGATATTTTGCCATTTTAACATGTGTGTCCATTAACCCAGGGCAAGTCTCTGAGTCTGATATGTGGAGCGCTGAGCTGGCTCACTGACTTTGAGGAGAAGAGGAAACAGGAGTCAGCTGCTCTGCTGCATGAAGGAGAAGCAGCTCTCTCCACTGTCACTGCTCCATCCTCCACTAGCAGCTCATCTGCAGGGCCAGACTGGATCACTGATTTTGTTCAAAAAAAAGCAGATCGTGATTTGGTGTCAAAGTTGAAGGTAAGAAAGTCAATGTATTTGACCTTGGCTTTCCAGCTTATCAACCACTCAGTTTTAACATAATTGTATGTTTTTCTGTGCCAGGACGAAGAATTGAAAAGAAAGAAGAGGGAAGAACGATTAGAAATGATCAGAAATAACGTTCAACTGAAGTATGCAATGAAAAGAAAAGTAAGTGATCTTGCACAGTGATCTTAAAGGTGCCAGGCATAGAACATTCCCCATAAATTACAATTATCATACGTTCAGTCTCTACAACTAAACATATACATTTCTGTAGAGCTGTGAAGATGAAGAGGCAATAAAATTGCTCCAGCTCAGTAAAGAGGAACAAACCGAGCCCCAAGGAGATCAAGAGGACGAGGAGCTCATCATCGCAGAATATGAGAGCGATGACGAGTCAAAGACCAAGAGCAGGTGAGAGCAGCCATTGATTGGTTACAAATCATATCAAATGTTACATCACAGTGACGGACAACAACAGCAGGGTGTGTTTGCTCTCATGCTTAGATTTTCTGCTACTGAGGAAGACGACGATCTGGTTGAAGAACATGTTACTAAGGTGTGTGAAAGAGACATTTCACATTGTAACTCTAAGGATATGTGTAACATGTTACCTTGAAGTGAGGCTGTATACATGTGTGTGTTTTCAGATTTACTACTGCAGTCGCACTCACTCCCAGCTGGCCCAGTTTGTTCATGAGGTTCAAAAGAGTCCCTTCAGCAAGGACATCAGTCTGGTCACCCTGGGCTCACGGCAGGTATGTGCACCACACACACACACACACACACACACACACACACACACACACACACACACACACACACACACACACACACACACACACACACTTGCAAACCCTACCAGTTAAAGATTCAATTTAGTATTTGTTGTCTGATAAAGGCTCCTAAAATTATCTGTAGAAGTAGGCTGTTGCAAAGATAAGTAATACCAGAATATTACGGTTATTTATACTTTTTAAAATATTTTGTTTTCTTCCAATTTAGGAATAACTAAAAAAAAATGGGATTACATTCTACAGGTTTTTTATTGAAAAATGTAGCGTGAAACTTTATCTGCATTTCTTCCCCTCCCACACTAGGCTCGGCATTCAATTGGAACTGTTACTTGTACTCATTCAGTAAAACCACAATTGTTAATTGTTAACCATTACAAAGAGTATTTGCCCAGTAAACATAAAATGGTATACTTTCCAGAATCTGTGTATCAACGACGAGGTGCGACGCCTTGGCAGCAGCCAACGCATTAATGACCGCTGCTTGGAGATGCAGAAAAACAAACATGGTGAGAGCAACTAAAAAATGTAGCTCTATAACTTCTGATATTACATAAACATATTTCCAGATAAGTTGAAGTTTGTATGACAAGTATGTGTTATTTAATCTTCATTTGAACCAGAAAAGCTTTGTTGAGATTATTTGAAAGACACACACAAAAACAGCCACAAATCCGAGTAAATCGAAAATGAAGAAAAAACATTGAAAACTGACCAATATTTCCAGAGCAATAAGAAAGCCCATTACCCAAGAGCTGTCTCAATAAGATATACATAAATAAAACCAGTTTTACTTACAACGCTTCCTGTTTTGCCATTTTGTAGACAAGCATCAGGAAGAGGGTGTAAAACGTAAGCGGGGCCCAGCAAAGAGTGTGTGTCCCTATAATAAAGCTACGGCTCTGCAGCAGATGAGGGACGACGTTCTGGGGAAGGTCCACGATATAGAGCAGATGCTGAAGCTGGGCAGAGAGACACACTCATGTCCGTACTACGCCACGCGCCTCTCTGTTCCCCCTGCTCAGGTAACACTGGCGTCCATTTCTCTGTCTCATTACTCTGAAGATTTCTTGCTCTCTGTGCTCGAAACATCATTTGGTTTTCACTAAATGATTTATTTGATTTATTAAGTCATTACCTTTTATTTGAAGTTTACGTGTTAACTGTTAATTGTGTCTGCATAGTTGGTGGTGCTGCCCTATCAGATTTTGCTTCATGAAGCAACAAGGAAGGCAGCAGGGATCCAGCTGAAGGGTCAGGTAGGATTATTTTTGATTCTCTCAAGGGTTTTCTGTTCAGACATTTTCAGAATTACCAAGGAAATATAAAAAATGGCCTAGTAATGTTAAAACAATTTTTTTTTCACAATTTGTTTAACCTTTGGCCCTTAACAATAATGGTTCTGAACAAAGTAAAGGATATAGTTTGAAACTGTTTGGATAGCTGATCATTCTTTGATCAGTTTCAACTTAAACTGGATTTTCTTACAGGTGGTGATCATAGATGAAGCGCACAATCTTAGTGACACGCTCTCCTGTATACACAGTGCCGAGCTCACTGGAGCGCAGGTAAAATAATTGGTACACATCATGTACAAAATGTTGATTTAAATTGCGCACGTTCTCTGCAAAATACCTAATTATGAATCTTTTTACAGCTATGCCGTGCCCACTCGCAGCTCACCCAGTATTCTGACCGCTACAAGTGAGTATACACACACACACAGAGATTAATAAATCAAATATTGTATCACCCTCCTGACTTGTTTATACTTCTACAACATCAGGAGCAGACTGAAGGCAAAGAACCTCATGTACATTAAACAGATTCTGTTTGTGGTTGAAGGGCTTGTCCGGGTGCTGGGAGGTGAGTGTGATTGGGCTAAAATAAGAATGTAATTATAGATTATGGCCAGTTAGTCAGAAGGGGATATTGCTGGACACTATGACTTACATGCTATCCTTTCAGGTAAGGTGGGGCAGAATCCACAGACCCAGACTACACAAACAGGTAAGTAAATAATACACATAAATAACATACATTAGATCACATCTATGTAGACATTTCCAACCTGTCATGTTTCTTTCTTTAGGAACGGAAGTGCTCACCATTAACAACTTCCTCTTCAAGGCTCAGATCGACAACATCAACTTGTTTAAGGTAGTTGAAAGTGTGATTTAAAAAAAAATCACAATCATGGCTCCTGAACACCATACCTAATCTGCCATCTCTAATTCTCTCAATGTCACTTTAGTTGCCGAGATACTTTGAGAAAAGCCTGATCAGCAGAAAGGTGAGTGTTTAATATGTATGTATTGATTTATGCCTCGTGTGAATATCGACGTACCCACTGTGCCTTCTCTCTGCAGCTGGGCGGCTTTGTGGAGAAGTATGCAGGATCAGGAGTGAGTCTGCACACTCAGAACTCCATCAAGGAGAACCGCCGCACAGAAGGCCTGAACCGCTACCTGCAAACGCTGCAGAGCAACCCAACGCCAGGTCAGAGGACTGATTTATGTCACTCACACATTAAAAACAAATTCAGCAGAAGAGGCAGAAAAAAATACATCAGATATTGTGTTATTAAACTAGTATCTTGCTCAAAAGGAGACATGTGTTTTTGGTTGAGCTGGATCTAATCTGCAGATATTATTGTTCCTTTCACACTACACTTATCCGTCACATTCAGCGATTTGTGAAATCCTGGCATTTTGTAATCAACAGACAATAAACAATGAGGTATTATAGTTTTGTTAATAATTGAATTTATTTGCACATATATACAAAAAGACAGGAAAAAGTTCAGAAAAAGTAGAACAAGGAACAGGAGATGTAAAAAGCCCCAACAAATTCTCATGAAGAAACTTCCCCTATTAGATTAATCGTCATACTTAAAAAAAAAACACATCAAAGTATAAAAATAAAGATTACATAAATCCTCAAAGTTGAAAGACTAAGCTGTAATACATTCATAGAAATGTTTACAAGTTGAGAAATCTTCTTCTCCAATCAAAGTCCTTTTCTGGTCATCTTTGAATAACTAATAATAATGTAGATTTTGTTGTAGTGGAAGAAGTAGGTTGTTTTAAGACGGTCCTCTTTATTTCAATATTTCAATAATTGTACCCACAGTGTAGCATTCATCTGGTTGTTGTTTTTGTTGATTGGTCTCTTCTCTCTGCTGCTGTGTGCAGGATCTTCAGCTGACCAGCAGGGGTCAGAGGCAGAGAAAGTGCTCTCTGCATCTCCCATGATGCAGGTGGAGGGTTTCTTCATGGCTCTCACCAACAGCAACACAGACGGCAGAGTGGTGGTGCAGAGACAAGGTACTGCTTTGAATACACAACTCCATATAAAGGATGCCAATACAAATTCAAAGTGTTGTAAACCCCCCCTCTGTTCTATGCCCAGGTACTGTTTCAGAGAGCAGCGTGAAGTTCCTGCTGCTGAATCCAGCGGTGCACTTCGCTCAAGTGCTGGAGCAGAGCAGAGCCGTCATCATCGCCGGAGGAACCATGCAGCCTGTGAGTGATGATAAATCCACTGAAAACAAACCAAGCTGTGTAAGATTTCTCATTCTGAAAGATGTGATGTGTAGGTTTCAGACTTCAAACAAGAGCTCCTATTTTCTGCCGGAGTGGGAGAAGAGCGCATCACTGAGTTTTCCTGTGGTGAGTCAGTGGCCCATTTTTAAAACCAAACTACTTTGTGGCATTTCTCTTTCAGCTTTTATAACTTACCCTCTCTTAGTGATGTGTTTATCAATATTTCTGTGTGTAGGAATTTTTGATGAATAATATAATGCTTCACAAACTCTTAAAAAACGATTTTAGTTTGAGTGCCAACTTCGCATTGGGTTATTCAAGCAGATTGACTAAATAGAAGAATAGTGTCATCAACTCGCACCTGGTTTGAGTCATGAAGGTGAAATATCGTATCAGAACTGACCCAAGAGAGACGAAAATGAAGCCATTTTGTGACTTAAATAATTAGTTAGTTGTTCATCCTTTTAAACTAAAACTGTTGTATTATAAGCCATCTGAACAACACAATTTAAAAAAAAGTACTATTACTGTGTCCTGAGACTGATAAGTTCTGCGTGAAGTAGAAGTTAAGTTACCTGATTTCACTATTTATACACACAGAAAAGGAAGTCTTATGTCTTGGATTTGTTGCATACATCCGAGCTATATTTGATGTGGAATATATTTTGTATTCAAGTGTTTAAAATGATTTCATGTTGGTGCTGTTATATCTAAATTGAACTACTTTCTTTCTGCCCTTTGTCTGTAGGTCATGTAATTCCTCCGGAGAACATTCTTCCCCTCGTCTTGTGCAGAGGTCCCTCTGGTCAGGAGCTGGATTATACTTTCCAAAGCAGAGACACTCCACGCATGGTACCAGACACACTATTGTGTTGAATCCTGCCCTAATATTGTTGAATGTAGCTGCATTGTTAACACAAGCACCATTGCAAATGTGTGCGTGTTGACAGATGGATGAGACGGGGCGAATTCTCTCCAACATCTGTAACGTGGTCCCCGGCGGCGTCGTGTGCTTCTTCCCTTCCTACGAGTACTCCAGACGCATCGTTTCTCACTGGGAGGCCAGCGGGGCACTGAGTCGTCTCGCTAACAGGAAGAAGGTACACCGCCACAGAAAGCTGTCTCCATCACGCCTTAACTCGAGGGTGGAATCATATTTTAGGGAAGCTGTTCTTTAAGTGAATCTTATACATTTCTAAGCTTTCACAATTACTTTCCCAGATCTTCCAGGAGCCAAAGAAAGCCAACCAGGTGGAGCAGGTGCTGAGCGAGTTCTCTCGCTGTATCCAGGTAAAACAGTCACTGCTCAAACATCAACCCTCATCATCACCGTTAACGATAAATTCACCACGAGTGACTGCCTCTACGATTGACACTATTTGCACGTCTTTTTTCTTTTGTCAGAGGTGTGCTGCAGATCCCGGCAGGCTCACGGGAGCGTTGCTGTTCTCTGTGGTCGGAGGAAAGATGAGTGAGGGCATCAATTTCTCAGATGACCTGGGCAGGTGTGTGCATATGGACGACGGGAGGTTGCATACTGCCTAAAGCTTACAGTACTAAATGCTGTTTTCTGTGTGCATATGATCACAGGTGTGTGGTGATGGTGGGGATGCCATATCCCAACATCAAATCCCCAGAGCTGCAGGAAAAGATGTCCTACCTGGACAAATACCTGGTGAGACCTCACTGTCCTCACTGCGTTCACAAACCTGGCAAAACGAGCACAGGGTCACAGAAATGCTGACATGAAGCACGTCATCGTTCTCATCTCAGTTGTGTTTGTTTTCTAGCCTCACAATGGAGGAAAGAGCCCCGGCCAAGCACTGATAGAAAACCAGTGCATGAAGGCTGTCAATCAATCCATAGGTAACGATGCATTACTCAGGACAACAGATCAGATACAAATCTCTGAGAATAAATTATTAAAGGTAGCACTTTATTTGGAAGGTCCACCTACAAATACTTCAAACAGTCTTTGTAACATTTCAACAGCTTAATAGTCAAACTGTTTTGATTTGTCTGTAGATGTACAGTGGGGCAAAAAAGTATTTAGTCAGCCACCAATTGTGAAGTTCTCCCACTTAAAAAGATGAGAGGCCTGTAATTTTCATCCTAGGTATACCTCAGCTAGGAGAGACAAAATGAGAAAAAAAAAATCCAGAAAATCACATTGTCTGATTTTTAAAGAATTTATTTGCAGATTATGGTGGAAAATAAGTATTTGGTCACCTACAAACAAACAAGATGTCTGGCTCTCACAGACCTGTAACTTCTTCTTTAAGAGCCTCCTCTGTCCTCCACTTGTTAACTGTATTAATGGCACCTGTTTGAACTCGTTATCAGTATAAAAGACACCTGTCCACAACCTCAAACAGTCACACTCCAAACTCCACTATGGCCAAGACCAAAGAGCTGTCAAAGGACACCAGAAACAAAATTGTGGACCTGCACCAGGCTGGGAAGACTGAGTCTGCAATAGGAAAGCAGCTTGGTGTGAAGAAATCAACTGTGGGAGCAATTATTAGAAAATGGAAGACATACAAGACCACTGATAATCTCCCTCGATCTG